CCAGATACTTCAGTGTCTCCCTGTATACCACTAATTCCTTTCAAGCTGCTACCCCAGTGCTGGAGCTCAAGGGGAGTGAGTCTGTATGTGCATCCTTTAGGATAACTGCTTTGGGATCCAGAAGTTTCTCCCACCAACTCAATCCCTGCTAGTTTTTGCAGCCAGAAGTTGTAGAGTCTTACCTTCCTAGCACCTGAACCCTGGGCTGGGAGACCTGGTATAGGGCTGGGACTCCTCACTCCCAAGATACACCTCCCTCCTGAATTTTTATCTACCAGACATGAATGTGGAATCAGCTCATTCTGCATCTGCACCCCTCCTACGAGTCTGGATGGATATGGTTTCTTTAATTCCATAGCTGTCAAACTTCCATTCAGTTCCATTTCATAGTTGTCAGACTTCTATTCAACTCAACTTCTGACAGTTCTGAGTGATGGTTGTTCTATATTTTAGTTGTAATTTTGAAGTGGTTGTGCAAAGAGGTGAGCCACTTAACATAATGTTCTCCAGGTCCAACCATGCTGTCACAAAGGATAAAACTATTTTTTTTATGGCCGAGTTGTATTCCATTGTTTAAGTGCCCAATAGTTGTTTCACCCACTCATCTATTGAAAGACACTTGGGCTGCTTCCATATCTTGGCTGTAAATAATGATGCAATGAACATAGAGGTTCTTATATTCTTTCAAATTAGTGTTTTGGGTTCCTTTGGATATATTCCCAGAAGTGGGATCATAGGGTTGAAAGACAAATCAACTTTTAATTTTTTGAGGTATCTCAGTACTGCTTTCCACAGTGGCTGCACCAACCTGCATTCCCATAAACAGTGCAAAAGGGTTACCCTTTCTCCACATCCTCACCAGCACTTGTTTGTTGATTCATTGATGACAGGCATTCTGAAAGGTGTGAAATGGTATCTCGTGATTTTAATTTGCATTTTTCTGATGATTAGTGATGTTGAGCATCTTTTCATATATCTATTGGCCATCTGTTGGCCATCTGTCCTCTTTGGAGAAGTGTCTATTCAGGCCCTTTGCCCATTTTTTAATTGGGTTGTTTGGTTTTTTTGGTGCTGAGTGTTGTAAGTTCTTTATAAATATTGGGTATTAATCCCATATCAGATATATCGGCAAATATGTTCTCCCATTCTGTGTGTTGTGTTTTTTGTTGTTGTTTTTGTTGATGTTTTCCTTTGCTGTGCAAAAACTTTTTATTTTGAGGTAGTCCCATTTGTTTATTTTTTCTTTTGTTTCCCTTTCCTAGGAGGATATATCTAATAAAATATTGCTACGAGCAATGTCTAAGATTTTGCTGTCTGTGTTTTCTTCTAGGATTTTTATGGTTTCAGGTCTAACATTTAAGTATTTGATCCATTTTTAATTTATTCTTGTGTGTGGTGAAAGAAGGTGTTCTAGTTTCACTATTCTGAACATATCTATCCAATTTTCCCAGCACCATTTATTGAATAAACTATCTTTAGCTCATTGTATGTGCTTGCTTCCTGTGTCAAATATTAATTGACTATAACAGCATAGGTTTATTTCTGGGCTCCAAGCAGAGCAGCAAATTGAAAAAAGATCTCCTTTCTTGTTAGGAATAGTACATTGGATAATTACAGATTTTTTCATTTTGACGGTGGCTGGCCAGTTCACTCAGAAGTAGCAATTTATCATATTACCTGGTCCTAATAAAATAATAGACATGTTTATTATTTAGTTTGGTTGTTGCTTACATGTGAAAATTCAGAGGTAGGAATTGAATAATACATGGCTAGTTAGAAACTATAATTTTGTGCTGTTAGCTCTTCTGTCAGCCAACTGCGTTGAGCCCATTATTATTATAACCAGATATTTAAAAGGATAAATATAAAAGAAACATGTTTAAAAATAAGAAAATAAGAACTTTGGACTGACTAGTATTTTTGCTTGAATCAACAGTGTACATAAAGCTGTGTATTAGAAATCCTTGTACACTGAGTATAGCGCTGTCGTTTTCTAGACTCAGGGCTGTCCAGCCTTCTGGCATCCCTGGGCCACACTGGAAGAAGAGCGGTTGTGGTGGGCCATACATTAAAAACACAAACACTGACAAAAACTGATGAGCAAAAAATAGATTTTAAGTAAATTTACAATTTTGTGTTGGGCCACATTCATAGCCATCCTGGGCTGCATGCAGTCCATGAGGCACGGTTTGGACACACTGTTCTAGATAGAGGTGCATGGGTGAGTATATACAGTTTTTATTTAATGTCACTGTAACATATATAAGAAGAACTAAACTGGCATAATTTTTTAATTTTATTTTTCAATTACAGTGTACATTCAATATTATTTTGCATTAGATTCAGGTGTACAACATAGTGTTTAGACAATGATATGTTTTACAAAGTGGTCCCCCCATATTTCCAGTACCCACCTGGCACCATACTTAGTTATAACAATATTATTGACTATATTCCATATGCTGCGTTTTATAGCCTCATGACTATTTTGTAACTACCAAGTTGGTCTTAATCTCTTCATCTTTTTCACCCAGGCCCCCAACCTCCTTGCCTCTGGCAACCGTCAGTCTGTTCTCTGTGTCTATGAGTCTATTTCAGTTTTGTTTGTTAATTTTGTTCATTAGATTCCACATATAAGTAGAGTCATATGGTATTTGTCTTTCCCTGACTGACTTATTTCACTTAGCATAATACTCCCTTGGTCTATCTATGCTATTGCAACTGGTAAAATTTCCTTCTTTTTATGGCCAAGCAATATTCCATGGAAGGTACCACGACATTTTTATCCATTCATCTCTTGTGGGTATTTGTGTTGCTTCCATAGCTTGGCTATATAAATAGCACTGCAGTGAACATAGGGGAGCATATATTCTTTTGAATTAGTGTTTTGGGTTTTTAAGATATATATACCCAGAAGTAGAACTGCTGGCTCATAAGGCATTTTCATTTTTAATTTTTTGAGGTATCTCAATACTGCTCTCCACAGTGGCTGCACCAATCTGTATTACCACTAATAGTGCACAAGGGTTCCCTTTTTTCCACATCCTTGCCAGCACTTATTGTTAGTGGATTTATTGATGATAGCTATTTTGACAATTGTGAGGTGGTATCTCATTGTGGTTTTAATGTGCATTTCTCTGATGATTAGTGACATTGAGCATCTTTTCATATGTCTATTGGCTATATGTTTGTTTTCTTTGGAGAAGTGTATATTCAGGTCCTCTGCCCATTTTTAAATTGAATTGCTTGTGGTTTTTTTGTTTGTTTGTGTGTTTGTGCATGTGTGTATATTTTAAGTTGTATGAGGTCTTTATAAATTTTGGATACTAACACATTTACCAGATGTATCACTGGCAAATATCTTCTATTCAGTAGGTTGTCTTCATTTTGTTGATGGTTTCCTTTGTTGTGCAAAAGCTTTTTGGTTTAATGTAGTACCATTCGTTTTTTTTTTTGTTTTTCTTTAAAACTGGCATCATTTGATGAGATAATAGACGTGATTTTTGGTCCCACAACTAATTCTCAAACATTTCTGTTAGATCACCCTTTACAAATATTTTTAGTCTCAACTCTCAGGCCTCTCCTCAACACCAGAAAATCAACTAGGTTGATTTCACTTAAATATATGTTTACTTTAAAAAAAATATTTAATTAGATTGACTATTTGGCAAAAATACTTGCAGAAAATTTGGTCCTGTCCAAAATAGCCATGGAGACATTTGGTCCTTGTCAAAAAATCCTTGCTATGTGCTGACATATTAGCAGACCCTGCATCATGAGATCCATTCCTCAACATGTTGTCCTCTAAGCACTTCACTATCTGTGGAACCCTTCTGCAGCTCTCATGGTTCATTTAAATTCTGTTCTGCAAGATCCAAACCTTAACCCATGTACCTAACATCATGAGCCATTACCAGCTGGGAAACTGAGGCAAGAAGGGTTATTATTGAAACTGCAGTCACACCACAGTTATTGGACCAGTAAAAAAGATAATATTTTATGTATCAATTCTGTAAACGAAAAATAAAATAAACATTATGGACTATCTGAACATAGGGATATTTTATCTGTGGGGACATTTTTGACACCAAATATCAAGGACTATTTGGTGTGGACTAGATAAACTTGTGGATGTCTTGAACAGGACCAACTGTCCACTAAATAGCAAACATAACTACTCAGTTTTGCAGTGTTTAACCAACTATGCACATGCACGTGTGTGTGTGTGTGTGTGTGTGTATTATTAGCAAAAGGAGAAACAGGTAAGACTGACACTTGTTTTTTTGAAGAGAACTGACTCAAATCTATTCTTTGGTCATTAAAATGACTGATACTTTTCCACATCAATAAGGGAGAGAGATGGTCCCTTTGACTTTGACTCAGTCTCTGGTTATTACTGTTAAATTACTATTAAATTTGCCTTCTGCCAGTGCTATCACTCTGTCAGTCCAATGCTAGAGCACAGAAAATTGCTTGTTTTTGAACATTGCCCATCAATTTGTTTGGTTAGATTGACAGCTCCCCAGTTGTCTGAAACTGTCTCCTATTATTTGCACTTTTTAATTATTTGAACACATGCTCAGTATCTGCTCTGGGCCTTGGGATTGCCCCTTTTTGGTTTATGCAACAGGAGGTGTGTGAGCATTACCCTGTCATTCAAGGTGTTTTTCATTAATTCTCTTCTTAGCAAACATGACATTGGTACATTCCAAGATATTGTTCTATATTATTTTTTTCCCTTTGCTCGCTAACACATCAAGTGATATCCCAGCAAAAGTCATCTGACTTCCTGCTGAGTACTCACTTCCTTGATAAATAAAGCAACTTCAATTTCTTTACATAAAAAATAAGAATCTGAAGTATATATACTTTTACATCATTTTAGAATTTTGTACACAAGGCTCCAGAAAATAAATGAAAAGTTTCATTTCTTACTGTGTTTGTTAAGCTCAAATAACCCACTGCCCCTTAATTCATCAGGTCACATTTTTTCCTTCTAGGACTATAATGATGAAATCCGTCAGGAACAACTACGTGAATTATCTTACTTAAATGGCTCAGAAGACTCTGGTCGTGGCAGAGGTATTAGAGGCAGAGGGATCAGAATAGCCCCCACAACGCCTTCAAGGTATGTTAGTTTTTACTTCAAGTGCATTAACAGCCAATGAGGAGGGTGATCTTTTTTTCTGGCTTGCTCTGTGGCATGATCACAGCAAGGAATAAGTAACAACAACATCAGCAACAATAACTACCACCTCCACAAAAGCAGTAACAATGAATGCTTATACAGCACATAAGAACTCCTATGAATTAACTCATCAAATCCTCCACACTAAGGTTAAATATTACATACAGGTGCTAAAATGAGATACAGAAAGATGTAAGGAATTTGTCCAATGTCACAAAAATAGTTTGATTACAGAATTCACAATTTGAGCTCTTAACCAACTGTGTAAAGAGAAAGTTACACATTTTATCTGTGCCTTAAGTGGCCCTTGATTTGTCACAGTCTTGCCAGCTACGTATAGAGATAGGTAATGATAGATGGAAGGAAGAAAGGAAGGAAGGGAGGAAGGGAGGAAGGGAGGGAGGGAGGAAAGAAGGAGAGAAGGAGGGAGGGAGGGGGGAAGGAATTTAGAAATATAGGTAGATAATATAAATACCAGTATAGAAAGCCAGAAGCATAATTCTCACTTGGCAGATGGTAAGAGTATTTAAAGTTTAGTTACATTTGACTTTGCAATGTCTTTGGTCATCAGAGAAGATTTGTTTTGTAGGACTCTGAATTTGTCACACTTTCAACAGAAAGCATTGGTTTGCAAACAAGTAAAGTAAAAAATACTCATAGCCTTCACACAGAGACATTGTAATTCTGTCATTCTCTCACCCTATTATAGTTGGCCTTCAAATCTCTGAAAGACATAGACCTAGAATATCATTTCATATATTGCATACAAATCATCTTAAGAAACTCTCAGATATTTGCTGATTCAATTTATTTGTTGGTTATCCTCCAAATATTTTCAAGCAGCACTGTCAAAAGGCCAGCATTTTAATAATTAAATCATTAACTACCTCAAACAGTTTTGAAATTATCAGAAAAATGTTAAGAATAATACATTTCCAAATAAAATATGACAGCAATAACTATCTAAAGGCAAAATGTGAAAATTCTCAACATTACTTTTGACTAAAGGAAACAATTTTGAAAATGTTCTGAATCTAGAGTTTATTTTTACATGTTTATCTTCAAAAAATAAAAACAGTTGTTTAATACTATCCAGAAACATTAATTTATTGCTAAAAATGTGACATAGTTTTTTTATGGACATATTTTTTATGGAATCAGCCTTTTATAAAACATCATATGATGCTAACCTTGTCATCATGGGTTATGAGATGACATAGCAGGTATTTCACATGATAAAATCATATGGCTTAAATCATGAATGTGTTGCTCTTATAGTTCAAACAAATAACAATTTATGTCTAGATAGGAGACTCATTTTTTTTTCCTTTTCTGTATTCCTTGAAATTGAAACCAGTTTTTAAAATAATGCATTACCTTGCTTTTGAGATTATAAAATCTTTGCATTAATAGATTTTATTTTGTCATTAATGTATAATGTAATATTATATTTGCCATATTTGAGCAAACCACATGAGATTTTTATTTCAGTAAAATTTTGTTAAAATTTTAATCTCTTTAATGATTTAGTAAAGAATAGTGCGTATGGTCTAGATTTTTAATTATCTTAAAAGAAAAATCTGACCAAAAGCTTTTTTTTGTTTTTAATATCCCATATGTCTTACAGATCTTATACTACATACATAAAGAGAAAAGAATATTAATGTTGAAAATTAAACCTTACTTTCAATGCCGTATTGGTATTTTTAAATGCATTGACATTAATGAAAGTAAATAGAGGGGAACTCTGTTGTCTTCTATTTCAAACCAGATGATGAAATATATCTACAAATAAGAAGGAATAAGGGAATGGCTTCTCAAAACAGAAAATCATATTGATCAGAAAGCCCTTGAAAACATAAATTAATGTAATTAGTAATTTGTACATATTTATGAAATTGTGCCTGTATTAAGTTATTCAGTTACACATATTCAAAAAGAATGGTACCTGTAATATATTTAAACTTCTATAATAATATTTCAAAAATTCATTTAATTAAAGGAATTTATGTTTCAGTAAACATAGCTATGAAAACTAATTCTCTGATAATATACAAATATTAGAGAATAATGCATTACATGTATATTACAATATTTTATATTACATAACTGAAGAATTAAGACATATGACATCTCTAACACACATCACTACTATATGCTGAGTGAGAGCAAGCGGTGGAAAATGAAACATTAAGGGCAGATTCTAAAGGTCTTTGTTTACTATAAAGAGAATGAATACTTAGAACTAATGGTGCTTATTAAATAGGGGAGTAATCATATTTGTTTCTAAAAAGGCTACTCAGTCATCGCTGTGGGTGATAGAGAAAAGACAAAGAGACACCGGCTCACGTCAGGGAAGCCAGCAAGAAGACATGTCCATTATTCAAAACAGAAAAGAACACCATTTGAAGTAGAAAGATACGGAATCAGATTAGAGATTAGAATTTATAGGAATTAGTGCCTAATTAGATGTTTCAAAAGAAAGAAAGCCCAAGACAAAGATGACTCTGTGATATCTGGCCTAGTTAGAGACTATTATATCAACTAAGGTTAGGTGAACAACCAAGTCAAATGAAGACTGTAATTATTGCTATAATTAATTCTAGCTCTTTGGATGTGCTAGCATGATCTTTGGCAGGTGACTTGCACTTTCTGTGCCTTGGTTGTTAACCTTCAAAATAGCTTAGAAACTGTTACATGACAGGCTTGTCAAGATTTTCAAATTAGATGGTGCATAATAAACACAGGTTTCCAAAGTGGTCTGCACATTGGAATCAGAGGATTTCCTGCTTCTAGATACCATGATTTCAGTGGCCTGGGGTATGGTCTGGAATTTGGAATTTTTCAAAGGTCCTTCAGGAAACTGTAATGTGCAGACAAGTTAAGGAACCTCTGATGTAAGGCCCACAATCCAGAATATGGTGTGTGTTAGGAAGGAAACAAATACCAACCATCAATAGACTGCAGAGAGTGCAAAGAAAGAGGATAGAGGACAGAAAATGGGGATACCCGCATGCCAAGAGGCCTCAGGAATAGAGAAGCCAGGAAAAGAGGCGGAAGCATCAGAAAGAGGAGGGAGAAAATGTGGAGAAAAGCAGAGTCGTAAAGTCCAAAGAGGGCAATTTCCAGACAGGAGTCTAGAGGGGCAAGTTTAATAGGGGAGTTGCGGTGTGATGGGGACTGTAAACCAATCAATAGGCTACTGGTGAGCTCATTTGAGAGTATTTCCAACAAATTGGCAAGAGCTATGCCTAGATTACACTTTTTAATTTTCTTTTTCAATTATAGTTGGTATTCAATATTATTTTGTATTATAATATTGAATTTGCAGGTGTCCAGCATAATGGTGAAACAATCGTATACTTTACAAAGTATTTCCCCCAATATTTCCAGTACCTGTTTTGCACCATACATAGTTATTACAATGTTATTGACTATATCCCCTGTCCACATCACTGTGACTATTTTTTAACTACCAATTTGTACTTTTAAATCCCTTTACCTTTTGTATTTGATTCAAGAATAAGGAGTTGAAGACTTAAACAGGGAAAACTTTCCAAAAGTGGGAAAAATGAAAGAAAGGATACTGTACTATGGATTCAGCCAGGGACCATATCCTAAAATAGGTGATGGAAATCTTGCATTGAATTGGAGAAGAGAGATATGGTGTTAATATTCCAGAGGAAAGGGCATAAAGAGTCAGATTCAGGAGACAGGTTTGCTAGGACTGTGTCTTAAAGACAGTTGATAAAAGAATTAAATGTGAAGTTAGATGTGATGCAAGGATCATAAAATTTTAAAACAGGAAGAATTTATTACGGACTCAAAAATCTGATTTGACCCATCAAGGAAAAAAAAAAAATCCACTTCAGGCCCAGTGAGGTATGATACTCACCTGTGATAATTCAGTATACCCAGCACTTGTGAATGTCGTTTAAAGTAAGTGACATATAATTTACTAGCCACACATGGATACTTTTGAGAGTGTGAAAATGCTAAGCTGAATAGGAAACCAGGGCAACAGTTGTAAATCAGAACAATTCTGGGCAAACCTGGAAATATGCTCACCCTACTTATGAGGAAACAGATAGGTGCTGTGCTCAGGGAAGGTAATAATAATAATGGCCTTTACATCCTTTTTTATAGGTGTGTTTTTATATTACCGTGATAATGTAGAAGATTGTATTATATTATCATGATAATGTAGGGTATTGCCTCCTCAGCTATGTTGTGCTTGAAGCAGGCACCTGGCCTTCTGGGCCTTTTGTATTTCTCCTTCCCCGAGGCTAGGAGAGCGTTCACTATACATGAGACTCACAATAAATTCTCTGATAATTTCTCTATTCATCAACTCTGTAATCTATTTACAACTTTTAAAAGCTTTACCAGCATTCTTGCTGTTTGCTCGTAAAAGCTCATTTTCTGCAAGCAAGAAAGAGCCAGCTGACTGCTATTCACAGCAGAAAGCATAACCTACATTCCCATCTGTGGGTGCAGCCAAACAGTGTGATTGTTGACATCCCAATGATCATTATTTTTCCCAAAGCTTTAGTGTTCCTGCTGAAAGCAGTGCTTTCCAGAGGCCAGACTTTCAGACATAATAAAAAGTGAAATAACCACACTTCTGCCCAAAGACTTCAGACAAACACTCAACCTTTCCAAAGGCCTCGGAATGCCATAAATGTTGGCTGCATCCATTTGATCTTGGGCTTTTAATACAAGTTACTTTTGTGTCAAGCACTGTAGTACAAAGCATTTAGTGTATTTTTTTTTACTGCAGAGTCCTAATGTATTTCACTAACATTATAGTTACCAGAGGGAAAAAAATTATATCAGGGACTCTACCCATTCAAGGGATTGCATGCATGATAATAAATCAATGACAATGAGTTGGGGTTTCAAGCGACCTCAAGCTTAAGCTACTATAATAAATAGAATGATATTACCATGGTTAGAGTTTCACATTTTATGAAGTATTAAAATGCAGGCAGATGTTTTTTGTTAATGACAGCATTGCACATCACTGTCAATAACCTGCCGCATGGAGGAGACAGTGGCATTCAGCAGCTCCGTTTCACAGGTGGTCCAGCGTATTAGACAGTGCTCTCAAGTGAGTCTCCTGGGTAACTTTGGAATAAAATGAGATTGGGTTGGTTTTATCGTTTTATAATAGAAAATATTCAAGTATTTTACCTGGTTTTCGTAACCAAGTCATAGCCAGTATTTACAAAATTTATTCTGCAGTGGAGGTCAAAGTACTTCACATTCTAAAGAATCTCAATGAAACACACACGGAGACACACACATACAGAGATAAATTTGGTTTCTTCCCATTGGATGGAGGCTGTGAGGCGAGCGCTTTGTCCCTTTCTGTCTCTTTCTCTCGCCGCTTGTTTCTCACCTGTGCATGTCCTGTTTTTCCTAGGGGTCGTGGGGGTGCCATTCCTCCTCCCCCGCCACCTGGACGAGGTGTTCTCACTCCCCGAGGGACCACTGTGACGCGTGGAGCTCTTCCAGTGCCCCCTGTAGCGAGAGGCGTCCCTGCCCCGCGAGCCCGGGGAGCACCAGCGGTGCCAGGATACAGGGCGCCCCCTCCTCCAGCGCACGAGGCTTACGAAGAATATGTAAGTACCCTCAACAAATTGGTCGTTAGGAGGAGTTAAATTAATTGAGTAACAAGTTAAGCCTCAAAAACATTTATATACCATGAATATAGTAGAGGATGTTTGTTGCAGAAAACGAAGGTCATTTGCAACAGAATTTAAACAGCACTTGTAAACATTAACATTTTGAGAAAAGCTTTCATTTTACAGGTGCTGTGATTGTTGTTAGTACCAGTTAAATAGCTTGCATTTTAAGAATCAAACTACCCTGAGGTTTTCTTATCTTTAGAAGACTCAATCAGTTTCAAACTGGAAATAATTTGTGAACATAATATGAATCATATATTCAGAAGCTTCTTCTAGGATATGATAAAGGTTAGCGTAAATCTCACTCAGAAATATTTGACAAATGTGATTATATTATAGACTTTGGTAATAATGTATTACCGTGTGACTGGTCTTTCATTTAAATGCCCTTACTCTCTCTTTCACTCCATGAAAGACGTGGGATTGGTAGATACGCAAACCTCAGAAACTGTGGAATGAGCCGAAGAAATGCAGTGTCTATAACCAGTCCCCTCCCTTCCCATCCACAGTGTCACTTGATACAGCCTTGGACCTTTCATCTAGGCTGTTAGTATTCCACAGTTCACATTGTCTTCTAGTTCCTGTATCTATTTCCTCTACTCAGTTGTGAAAATTGCAAAAAAGAGACAGTTCTCTATTCACTCGTGTGACCATGGTTTAGTCGCAGTAGATGTTAAATTGAATTGATGAAAACCAGATCACCCCGTGAAACATTCTTTTTGCCATTAACCTCGCAGTGTGCTCATCCCCTAATCCAGGTGTCTGTCCCATTCAACCACCCATGGACATGCTGGCCTCTTCAGTGGCCTCTGGGAATGGGTTACTTATTAAATATAAACTCTTCAAGGATACTTCTTGTCAGCTGCTCGGCACTCAAAGCATATGCATTTTCTATGGACTGGTTAATAACCAAGTAAAACTTAATCCTACAATACAGTGAACATGGTTGCTATGTGTCACTAAAAATGTATTAAAGCTTAAAGTATATTAGTTTTTTAGTAATAACGTTACTGCTTAAATAAGAAACATTGACTGATATCTGCAACAGTGAAGACAAATTCTTAGAAATCCATTTCTACTGGAAAAGGGGAAATGTGTTCATCTAACGTGTCTTTTGTATGATACCAGGTGTCAATACTTAAAATTTTAGACAATCTGGAAATTTTGAATTCAGAAGCAGAAGCATAATCCCCACTGTAAATAAGCACACAGGCCAGGAGACACAGAGCCTGCCCTTCGTCCTGCCTTTTCCTCCCCGAGATGTAGTATGTATGAAATAAGTGCTTGTTAAGTGGGTGAACTAAAAATCCACAACAGGAATGATGGGATCATTTTAATCTCTGAGGGACCTTTCTCACTGTGTCATCTTTATGTAGGTTGTCAATATGGTATTTTTAACTTCCAAAGAGAGCCTTAAGCAGTTAGATCTTTATTTCAAAAATTAAAAGAGAAAAAAGCTGCCTGGGTAATAGTGATCAATACTATTGTTAATCAAATAATTTACAGGGCATATATAGAGCACCATGAAAGAGAACAAGACTGGCAAAACACTGTAGACTTTCACATGCATTTCAATTATAGTGAATAAATCACTGGAGTACAAGGCAAATAAGAGTAAGCTACGAAAGTGTAAAGGGTTTGCAGAAACATGCATGGAAAAGGTTGTATTCTGAAAGGAGAAATCTAGGAGGAGGGTGGTTCTTAAAGTAAGTCAAAGAAAATATGTAAAGTCATGTAATCGGATTTTTTTTTACTTAGATTTTAAAGTGTGGAATCCCTTTTATTCATTCACTCAATCATTCCTGAGCCTCTGTCTTATTTTAGACACTGTTCTGAAGCTCCCGGAGATGTAGCTGTGAACAAAGACCAAATATCTGCTTTCATAAAGCTTACATTTTAGTGGAAGAAGAAGGAAACCAAACATATATTAAAACTGAATAAAGTAATGCCAGGTGGAGAAAAGGGCTCTGGAGATCGGCAGAGGGAGACCGGGAGGGAAGGCCGCCTGACATGGAGGCTTCAGCAAATGCTTACATGGTGTGAGGGTCGAGGCCAAGGGGCTGCCTCTTGAAAGAGCATCCCTGGTAAAGTAAACAGCAAACATAAATGCCCTGAAACAGAACCTGCTGAAACATTTTGGGATCAGCAAGGAGAGCATGAAGCTGGAGCAGATGTGTGAGTAAGAGGAAGTAGACTAGGTTAAGGGACAGACAGGCCAATTCATGTTGCTCTTGGAAAAATTTGGGAAGGAAAGTAATGTGATCAGGTTTATGTTTTTAAAGGTTTTTTCTGCCTGCATTGCGGAGAACAGGAGAAATAGGGGTGGGCTTTGGGCACAAGAGTAGAAGCAGAGCCTGGTGAGTAACTCCTTGCAATGTCTCCCACTGACAACATGATGCCTTGGGGTGGGGGGATGAGAAGAGGTTAGATTCTGAGTGCACTATATTAATGCTCTGTTAGGATTTGACGATGAAACAGAAGTAGGATGTGTGAAAAAAAGAAAGAAGTAAGGACAATTTTGTGACGTAAAGGTTAAACAGAACCTTGGACTGCACAACTGGGTTAAACGGGTGTGTCATATAGTGAAATGAGAAATACCATAGGGGGATTGGTGAGTTCAGTTTGAGATCCTGTTGAAGGTGTTCAGCCTCCAGGAAATCCTGTTGCGTTGCTGGGGAGAGCAGACCTGACTTTGGAAACAGACAGCAGCATCCTGATTTGCATTCTAGCTGTGTGAGTTGCTGTGTAATTAATTTATAAACTCTCTGAGGCTTGGATTTCCCTTCTATATAATGGGGCTAATCATTTCAGCTCATAAGACTGCATTAATATAGAAATAATGTAATATGTATATAGTATATATAAAATAACATTAGAAATGATATCCATAGCACTTAGAAGTATGCATAACTACCTAGAAAATAATAGACCTTCATAATGAGAAGTAACTTATTTAAAATTTTACCATGTAAAATATTCTCTAATTTCTGCCTGGGATAAGATACAGACCCATTAAAGTTACATTTACCTACCTTTGTGAATATTAATTGAGCAGTGTTGATTGCAAATAGCACAAGCAATTTTATCTTCTTTTAGTAATAAACACATCAGTTTACAAATGAACAAGCATACAGGGGGAGTGTCATATCAATATAGGCGTATGCATGAAGTTCAGTAATAGGAATCCCTTCAGACCTAAAGAAAGCTCTGGACAGAGTAACTAGAAAACTGTCAAGCATCCCTACCTATATTTCATCTTTTTTCTCTCCGTATATGTTTCCATTCCATTTTAACCTACAAACTAGATGTTTGGGCTTCTCTGATCAACACGTTCAGCACACGGTGAAATATGCCCACCCCAAGTCCAGTTCCTGTCACCTACAGATACTGACAGGCTGACTGTCTCTCAGTCCTAATCTAGATCCTTAGATGGAAGGATCCTATTCACTCAGGCTTGTCGGGTGTCTAACACTAGGCGACTCAGCTGTGACCACAGGGTGAGAGTTTCTGGAAATTAGGTCTGAGGTCCACCACTCACCTGCCAACGGTGAAGAGGGTAGGGGGTGGGTGAAGTTTCACAAACTGTAAGCATGGTTCCTGGGGACCTAACCCCAAGGCTAACATGGGGAGACACTAGTTTTCAGAGGAAAACTTATTATAAATTTGGCAGATATCCCAAAATAAATCTATGATAGCCTACTGTTGATAACAGGAAAATGCAGATAAATTTTTTTAAAACTCTTTTTTGCCGTATTTTTAAACCATCCAGTGAGTATGGGCAAAGTGTATTACATGGCTGGTAAGCCTCTTACAACAATCTTTGACGTCTCAGTACCGAGCCCGATTAACAATCATGAACCTCTACTCTGGTCTAATTTTAAACTATTGATTTCTCTGTAAGGGGTAAGAAAAACAAAGTTTAAGAGTCTCAGTAACAAAATAATAGCACCATGCTGAGTTAATGGTGAAAATCTCAAGGAGTTCTTAACTTTCAGATAAAATTTCTTAGAAAAGGTTCCCTCTATTATAAATGACACCACAAGCTAATTCACTCTTCAGACATTTCTTTCTCCCCTGCTGAGTCTGGGCATTAAATTTCTGACCACATAGAATGTACGTAGGTGATGAAATCCACTCCTTGCAGCTTGCCTGACAAGAAACAGCTTACTGTAAATGAGATTGCTGTTTAAAACCATTGTTAGTGTTAGTTAGCTGAGTCCTAAAAAAAAAAAAAAAGTGATTTTTGGTTTGTTACACATCCTAATCCAGACTTTAAATATTTTAAAGCTTCTTTTCATTGACCTTCTGTAAGGTAGAGTACATTTACATTTTATAGATCCATCATCATGATGGAAGTAGATTTAGGGACTTGAAAAGCACATTTTAAAAAAACACCCACACAACAAAATATTAAGCTTATTAGGTCTACAATAGATAATATGTTTAAAGAGAGTAATCTAAAACTTAAACTTCTGAGTACCTACTAGGTTCCAGTCACTGTATATTAATACACTTACCTTCATGATAACATGAGCAACGAGTTATTGATGAACTATTTTAGTTGATGAGGAAACTGAAGCTTGTAATTGACACTTGCATCCAGTTTTCTGTCTGCAAAGCTTCTGTATCTTTGTCACATTAAAGTATTACTCTACATGTTAATTGTTCCACAGAGAACTGACATACATATAGACAGATTATTTGTCCTTCCTGCCTTCCATCCAGACCATTGGTCAGTGTTTACATCCCCTTCGTGATAGGACATCTCCCAGCCCCTGCATGAACACCTTCAGAAAGTGCTAGAAATGTAAACACTGTGGTTAAAGAAACATTGACTCTACTCTCAAAAGCTGCCATCTAGTGGGAGAGACTAAGATTAGTATAACAATTAACATGTACATAATTGCTGTATAGGGAGGGCTCTTATCTTTACC